GATTGTGGGGGCCACCTAAGCAAGGTAAAGTCTCCCTCGTGTTCTTGAAACCACTTCTGCACAATACGAGCACCGTGGCATGGCGCATTGTCATGTTGGAAGAAGCCATCTCCATTGGGTACGCCATCAACATGATCAAGGATGAACTTGATCAGCAACTATACTTAGGTATGTTGTGCTATTCAGACGTTGTTCCCATGAAATAAAGGGCAGGAAAACATACCCCAAACCATAACACTGCCCCCACCAGCTTGAAGGGTTGTACTCATGCATGTGGGGTGCATCCTTTCATGATGTTTCTGGCCAAATTCTCACTCTGCCATCTGCATGATGCAACTGGAAATAGACCACATGCCTTTTTTTCCAATGCTCAACTGTCCAATCCTTGTGTTCCTGTGCAAATTGGGAATGTTTTATCTTGGTAACTGCAGACAGCAAAGGTGTTCGAATAGGCCTTCGGCTTCCATATCCCATATGATGCAGTGTACGGCTAATATGCCTACAAATACCAGGTGGTCATAATAGTCTGGCCACTCAGTATGTGTATATATATATATATCTCCTCCTCACGGATGAGTGGTAAGATGGGAATGAATGAATGAATGAGCTGGGTAAAACACAGGGTATGCCATGGGTAAATGCCACATGATTTAGGACAAAATAGTTAATACAATAATTTAAGAAGTGTTTATCAAGTTCTTTTTATATTTCTATTGCTGATGTTAGCACTAGAACATCAATGATTTTTGTCCTTTGTCTCTAGTGATATTTCAGTACTGGCCAAACAGATTTTCAGTGTGATAGCAGAAAGTATTATAGGCACTAAATCTAGGTTAATTTCTGGGCTTCTGCAGATAGGCCAGGCAAAAACTCCAGAGGCAACAAAAAACCTGCCCATATGCTTCTCAGCCTCGTTCAAGGTTTATCATCTGGCAAAAATCTTCCAAGAAATTATCCTCTGGCATTTCTCCTTTGCCGAGAAAAAAATCTCAAGTAAAATATGAAGCAGTAGAATTGGAACAAATGGAATTCATCCCAAACTATAATCACCTTGTGTGATGACAATATCAAAAGAATTTGGGAAAGCAAAGATTTAATGGAGCTGAACTCAACTTGTATATTTTCTTATTGTATCCGGTACAAGGACAATATGTAGTGAAAGGAAAATTACTATAACCTTTGTGGTAGGCTATGTCCTCATCCCCAGAACCTGTGACTGTGACCTTACATGGATAAAGGGACTTTGGTTAATGATTATGTCAAGGATTTGAGATGAGGACTTTATCCAGGATTATCGGATTGGGCACATTGGTCCTTATAAGGAGGAAGGAGGTCAGGGAGAAAAGAGGTGATCTGGTGAAGGAGAGGATGAAGTGATGATACACCTTGAAGCTAGAAGAAGGGGCCACAAGCCAAGGAATACAAATGTCCACTAGAAGGTGAAAAAAAGCAAGGAAACAGATTCTCATCTCAGAACCCCCAAAAGAAACCAGCCCAGTTCAAACCTTAGTTTTTTATTTCAATGAAACTGATTTTGAACTTCTAATCTCCAGGTCTGTAAGGTAAAGAACTTCATGTTGTTTTAAGCCACAAAGTTTGTGGTAATTTCTTATAGAAGCAATAGAAAGCAAATACAAGCCCTCTCTTCTCAATTTAATTGATGTGTCTTCAAACTTAGAAATTATAAACATATGCAGTAATGACCCTGGGTTGAGATTTATTGGACTAACATTTAAAGGGTTGAAAAAATATTTTTTGAAACAAAGGAATGCCTTCCATTTTCCCATGATTTTAAAATGATAATTTGAGGGTATACTATTTTTACAGCTCACTAGATTTAATTTTAAAATCACTTCTAAATTGGCCACTATCATTTTGAATTAGAATATTTTAAATTATTGATATGAAGACTACATTCAGTACTTTCTGGTTGGTGACAGGAACACAGAGTTAATGAACAATTGTTAATGCCATGATAATTTTCTTTTGCCTTTAGTGTTGTGTTATATTAAACTACCTATACCAATCAATACCAATCAATATCCGTTAAGATGAGAAAAAGTACACTGAATATTCCAGGGCATATATAGTCATTGATATCCTTTTAAAATTATTTAAAATCCTTTCAAACATTCTGAAATATCCAGTTCCCTATAAAGAATCCCAAGATGTTAATTACAAAAGTCCTGGAACTTTCTCCCATTTTTTTTAAACATTAAGAATTTGTTGAAGATTTTTTACACTTGAACATATTGTTTAAAAATATAATCTTTCTTCCTATGTGACAGCCTCACACAAACAAAGTATTTAAAGAAGACGAAGCTCTGTCATTGCTGTTTAATTAACAGACTTTTGGAATTAGAGGTTGTTAAAAAATAACTCAAAAAAGAAAACTTTAGTGTGATGATGACAATCATCTCATTCCACATCAGAATTTTAACTAGTAAAAATTCCATCCCCAGGTGTCATCTGCTAGAACTAGTGGATCTTATTTTGGATTGTCAGTTTTTCTTTCCCCAATGACATATACAAATCAGATGGTGGAGTACGAAGCACGCTGAGAGGTCAGGTTTGCTTTGAATTTAGTACATGATGTAACAATTTCCTTTCTATCATTTGACTTTGGTGCTCTCAGTTCCTTTGTTCTATGTCTAAATTGTTTAAAATCACCTTGCCTTCTAGTGCATAAAGGCAGCATATATCATTTTGTTATTCTACATTTTAAAAGATTAATTCCTGTAGTTTCTATCAAATTGAAATCTACCTAAATGTACATTTTAATAACTTTTACAACTTATTTTGGATTATCCACTGACACACCTTGAAAATCTAGTTCATCTAAGATGCAAATAACTTTACAGTAATTTGGTGACAATGTTAAGGATACTTTTTTTTAAATTCCTACTTTCAGGAATTAAAGAAATTAATTAAAGAAATTAAAGAAATTTTTTCTTCTTCTACAGTATGATGGTAACTTTGTGAAAGTTTAACAATTCTAACATACTATATATCTGTCCTAAGCTATATTCAAATTAATAAAATATCCTCCACTGAATACTTCCTATGGGAAATAATAGGCCTAATGCTTATAAATTAAGATCCTACCCATCCCCAATTTTGAATTTAAAAAAAGAAAAAAAATTAATGATTAATATTTAAATTTCTGCAGGGTACAAAGCACCTCGATCAATAAAACTGGTGGGATATATCTCTTATAACAATTTCTGTACATTTTTATATATGCCTTTGAGCCACTTGTTAAGACTGTAATGTCCGATTGAAATACACAAGTCTATTTCTCAATAGTTTACTCATCTTTTGAGAGATTTCATCAAATATAAACTTTATTATCAGATGCTCTTTGACAAATTCTAGTTACAGGAAATTAATTGAGATATTACTCTATTATGGCTAATTATCAAATTATGGATTATGCGTTCAATGTATTTTTGTAACTAAATAGCAGCTTACAAAGCTAATATTGCCATGCCCTACAAATAAACCAAGTTATTAAAAATATGAAATACATAAGTACGAAAGAAAGCCTCCAATGTGACAATATTCACTGACATGCTGTCAGAGCTGGAACAGATTTAAATATCTCCAGTGCATCTCCAGCTTCTGGTTGAGAAGCTGATCTGCTCAATGTTAGTAAGCTAGCGGTGGCGAGGTCTGTGGTCTAGGCCCTCCATCACTAGATTCTTCACACACATAGTCACACACACTTTCACTCTTAATATAGTTCTTGCAAAGCAAGCTGAACGAGCACATTTTAATATAAATGCGCATGTTATATTGTATACTTCCTTAGGATTTTCTTTTGTCAGAAGAGCACAGAAATAAAAATTGCACTGGGCTTTGTTAGTCTACATTCTTCATGAGAAATAATTTTTTTCTTTATCAAACTGACAGAATTAGATCCTTGTAAGTGTAGAGATATATTACAATTAAAGTATTCTCAGACACATGCCATACACATTCACTAAGAGAAATATGAATCTAACTCCGAGGCTAGAATACATGGTTACGCTCACTTTATTACCAGCAAATAGACGCCATTCTCCAATCTCACCTGCAAGTTTCTTTCCTTAAACATACAGCAGATGTACCGAGTTGTTCTATGGTTCTATACATTTCCATTCACATTACAATAAAGAATGGATGCATTTCTCTCCTGTGCACTTAAATCCACCAACAATTACGAGTAGCAATAAAACACCATTTCCTAACAATGTGAGGCTGTACAAAATCTAGCAGAAGTTAACCCAAGGTTTGGTGATGAAAAAATACTTGCTTTACAATACTTATCAATGTGATCTACTTATAGTTTGTCTTTTTAAAAATTAAATAATATATGTAAGCTGATCAATCAACAATATTTTAGATACCTTGTTGGCCATAATATTGTGTTTTAATTTTTAAAATAAACCAATACATTGCCTCTGAGCAGTAAACAATGGTCATAGATATTTAGATAAAGTTATTAAGTTCACAGAGACACCAGATCTTATACCCAGTATAGATTTATTTGAAAAACAAATATTGAATAATTTATTATTTAAAGTGGTTAGAATAAAGTTCAAGAGAAATATAAGCAGATCATTTCTTCTCTAACAATCTGAAATACAGGAGGTTTAAACCTTATATATTTTTGTCAAAGTAGTAATTATCCATAGTGACAGATGCTGGTTCCAGCTGATGGAGGGTCTCACATGTTACTCTGCATCTCATTGGGAAGGAAATATAAAATGTTAAAATAGAAGTAACTTGGGGAAAGGCATCAGTGATGCAACTCTTAGCACCAAATGTTTTTTCTTGGAGCACCAAATGCTTTAAGGAAAACATTCCAAGTATCAAAGTTTTCAGATAGATAAATATTTATGGATCAAATCCATAAAGAACAGACATTGTTATGAAATATATATAGATGCCTTCAAAACTTTCTTTCCAGGCAGAGTAGACACATAAGTTAGGAGTCATTTCCCACTTAATTGTTTTTGAAACCTTATGCAACACAAATGGATTATGGCTAAAGACTTACTCATTTATTCACAGAAAAGAAATCTTGACTGAACTTAAGTCCAAAAAAATTAAACAGGAACTTTTTCTCTACATAAAATGTAAAATGTTATTAAACTTATGGAAATGACTTTCTATGACCCTTTTATTTTCCTGGTTGAAAGGTTTAGAGCAGTGGTTCTCAACCTTGGCTGCACATTAGAATCACCTGGATGAGGCCCAGAAATCAGGATTTTAAAAAGATTCCCAGGTGATTCTAATGTTCAGCCAAGGTTGAGAACCACTGGTCTAGAGGTTTTCAATGTAGTGAGAAAACAGTACTCATTAAAAAAAAGTCCTCTCATTTGCTACTTAGCCTGATCAGAGAAAGTAGTAACATAAAGCTGACTCATATCTTTCAGTGCAATGAAATTCATCTGTCTTTAAACATTATGAACGGTACTTTTTTAGAGTACATGTAGACCAATGCCTCTCTGTCATCATGCAGAATTCTTCATAGTGGTATTAGAACTGCAAATTCATATGCACGGCAATCCACCGAAAACTACTTTGCCATTTAAAGGTAGAGGTCTACTTACAGTGCTCATGTAGCAACATGCAAGTGTCATCAAATGCCATACAATATTAGATAAATTCAAAGTCACTGTCAAAGCAAAAGCTTTAGCTTCTAGGCATCCTTGATACTCATAAATGCCATTTAGGAATGTGCACTGATCAGAAACGAAGTGCCAATTTAAAGAAAATAGGGATAGGTCCTGTCCCAGATGCAAATGTAGAAGAAAGGTCTACAAGAACTCAATGGGCTTCCAAGTCACACTTGCACACATGGATAATTACTGCCAATAGTATCACTTGTGAACACAGGGGACATTTGGGGACGCAATATAATTCTGTCCCCAAAACTAACCAGGACAATGATATATTCAACCAAACAAGGCTTGAGTTTATGTAGGCTTAAAGAAAATGGTAGCAGAGGCGCAGGTAAAATTTTATTTATGAATATGTAGACACATGACGTTGGATCCAGCCAGCCAGTGACATAAATAAACTTGAGCAAAGGATTCAAGCTAGAAGATATACATGTACATATATAGTTGCATGTGTGAGTCGGGCTTCTTGGAGCAGCGCCACAAATCTGGATACCAACCCACAGAGTCACTCCCGTCCTTTGAAATTTCCATGAAGAGCACAATGGGGGTAATTAAACTGGGTTGCTCCAAATCGCTCTTTCCATCTTGTGCACTCGCATGCCCGCCGAACATGAAATGTTCGCCTTCTCCCTTCCAACGTGATGGTTGTTGAACTTATTTTTAGTGTCATTTGATAAGCCTTTGTGCTCACAGAGAGACATCTCACTGACCCAGCCACTGGTCATTGTCTATACCAGTTCACATCAAAGCTGGCGCACTTTGTCAGGTTTCGCGTCGAATATCCATTTCGCATCTGAAATTCAGTATCGAAAGTGACTAGATCATTTGAGCTTTTCTCTTCAGCTGCTGCCTTCTTCCTCCCCCACCGTGTTTCCGCTCACGCTAACATAATTTGGCATCGTCGACATGACACGATGGTGGTTTTTCTACAAAATTCGAATATACACATTTTCGATGTTTTGTGGTGGCTGATCCTCCTGAACATTTAATTTTCAAATTGATGAGTGGAGGTCTTTTCTTCTCTACTGAATATCATCCAAGATAAAGTGCCCCTCAAAATCCAAGTAATGCGCATACAGTAATAGGTCATTCAATGTCAAAAGGCATAAAAAAGATGAGCAAAATCTTCACAGGCTGCTGCTTGCTGTTGCCTTTAATTATATTAATTAAACTTTGAAATTTTCATGCAAAGAGAGTTGCTGGCTTGTGACGCTGAGGAGCCCTTGGAGACTTGGAGAAAGAAAAAACCCTGAGCGGAAGCTTTGTGGTTACTGCTTCCATTAAATTAAAAGCAAACAAAACTGTTTGGTATGTTTACAGATATTGATGCTTTACGCACTACTAAACCCTAAACAGAGAAAGAGGGGTAAGTCGACCAATCACGGGGACAAGTTCTCAAATCATGAGTCCCTCACACTCCGCTCAAGACCTCTGGGTAGAGGCCGCCTTCCTGTGTAATAATGCTCTATTAATTGTCTTCTTTCCCAAGTGCATAATGAAAGAAAGGTGTCTTGAAAAACTAAAGGGCACAATCTTGCTTGCTACCAATACCTGGGGGCATACTGTCTACATTTTGTCATGCGTGTGCACTTTTCAGTGATAGAATGACAAGATTTTCCAGGCAGAAGCTTCCCATAGGCACATTGTGGTAGGGAACGTGGAAGGATTTTGTGATCTGACAGAGCTATAAGGCAATAGACTCCTTTATTTGCTGAGTCTGGCAGGAAATCTCATACTCTGCCTATGGATACACAATCTTGCCATGTGGAAACACGGGAGCCATGTTACCATGTTCAACACTCCTCTCTTCATTAAAGATCCATCACGGCCAGTTGTTTTGTGGTCTCCGTTTTGATATCATCTTCATGCTGTTGTTTTTTATTGTTTTCCTTTTCTACACATTCAGCAAACTTTTTTGTATAAGTCATGGCATGTAGGTTAATGGTCCTCTTTATCTTCAGTGCCATGAATCATGAGTTACTACTGGGTTTCATCGACTCCCAGGTAGATGGCAGAACAAGTGTTTGAAAAGGTCTGGTGCAAGCAAAGCAGAAGGCAGAGAAAACATTTCCCGACTGAGAGGAATAAAGCTGCTCTTCCAAAAACTTCTAAGATGCACTTATGGTTTTTCATTGGGTTGGAAATCAGCAGTGTGAAGATGTACCATCTTCATACCTTCTTGGTCTTTCTTTTTACTGAGACGAAACTCGGGAGAAGTTTATGCACCGGCCCTAGAAGAGAAACAAATCCTTGTTGAAATATTAAAGCCATTATAAAAAAGCATAAGGATGCCTATTTTTCCTACCATAATATAATAAACAATCACCTAAGGTAAGGTCAATATTAAGATGACACAGGAAACCATAATTTTTTTTCCCTTGAGTTAAAGCATGATGGCTCATTGAGATATTTTCCACAGCAACTTCATCTACACAATGGTATGGTAAAATTAGAGTGGAAAAATTCTATGGTAAATGGAAATATTGTACTGCTATTGAAAGTATAGTGTTACTGTCTTAGCAATAAGAGTATCAAAGCCACAACCTTGTATGTTGCTTTCTATAATGAATTCAGATGAAAGTATTCCTTTATGCAATATGGTGCTTCTAAAACTGATATAAAGTTGGTGGTTCTAAAATGTATGTATGAGGAGTGCATTTAAGTAGTAAGAGATTGAAGATAAGGAGTCTGGGAGAAAGGGAGGAGATGCCATCTCTTTGTGATTCTCTTGTTTTTTTTCCTTTCTCTTTTATAAAAGGCTTTTGTGAGATACTTATTAGTGATCTTGTCTACTGTTGTTGGCCAGTGCCCACAATGCACACCACCATTATGTGTGCTCTCCAAACGGTGACTGTTTATTTGCATTGCACATTTCCAAAGAGATTTTGCCATTCCGACTCCTTAGCAATTCAATAATGGCTATGGAGATGCATAGTTTCATATGTAATTGTAAATAATCTAAAATTCATTTGAAAACCAAGTTTCCAATTAGTGATACCAATTTGCTTGGTATGACACTGCTGATTCACTGTACTACCTAAATCATGTCCAGATTCCTCAAAAGCCCCAAAACTAGCATACTGCTTTCTACTATAGGGTCAACATTATCACCCAGTTGAGATTTTTCTATTTTTCATAATACCCGCTTTCTAATTTCAGATATTAGAACGTCTCTTTTTCTCCCCTCTAAACTTGGACAATACATTCATTTACGATATTCAAAAGAAACAAGTGTTGGAGAAGAAAACTTGGAACATAAGACCAGGATTTTAGTACATTTTCCTTTCAAAAAAATGACTACTCAATAAATTTGGAAATTTCAGAAATGAATGAAATACACCAGAGCATAAAAGCAAACTTGTTTCCATTAGCTTTTTGACTAAAAGGAAAGTAGTAATCAAATCGTCTATTTCTAAATGTTTTTGGAAGCAACCTGTTCTCTAATTGTCAATTTTATTACTACTTTCTACAAATAATATGTGTGCAAAAGAAAGTGGGAGAAAAGCATAGAGATAAGCACTTTAGAATGAGGTCAAAATATGTTAGTAAATCCAATGGTCATAGACCATGCACCCAGACTGTATTTTTGTGTTACCTAGAATCTTCAAACAAGATCAATAAAACAAGTATTAAGTGAATTATATACTCGCTAGCAGATTCAAACGTATGAGAAATGATATAATGGCAATGATGTGAATTAATGACATTTTTTCTTGTGTATTTATAAACCTAACAAGCTATTTCTCTCTTCTGCATTATTTGGAAAAGAAGATATCATGAATCTCTACTTTTACTTGAGTTTCATCTAAGCTTACAGTTTTTCTGACCTCTTCTGTTCTCATCCCAGATTAATCTTGGTGACCCTGATTCATTTACTTTAAAAAATTGGATAGATTAAAAAGTGAAATTGATAGTTTACCTGAATTTTCAAAATAACTGCAACACCTAAATCATTCCAGACCTAAATTCTGTGGTTTAATTAAAGACATAGAAGTGCGCGTGAAGAAAACCCTATTGATTTTGACCCTGAGGTCCTTACTTCAATTCTTCCAAAGTTTGGGATTAAGTATTCATTAACAGCTGCCAAATGTCTTGATTCAAGTACCTCAAAACCCCTCCTAAATGCTGTATACACCTTTGTGTTTTATACACCTATTAACAAAAACAACCAAATGTCTTCTTCCCTCCTAACCATGGACTTAAGTGTGTTTTGCTTTTATCAAGAGCTGATAATGCTGGGTGTACTTTCATTTTACACAAACTGAAAAGTTGAATACTTGGAGGAGTTCTGTTAAGCACTGCCTAGTTCTCCCAGTCATGGGACTCATTTCCCCAAAGGTCCCATTGCATGTCCTCTGCAGCCAAAGTTTATCATACCACTCTAATACTCATTAACTGTGTGACCATGGGCAACAGTTACCTACTGTGTGCTTGTTTCTTCATAAATAAAACGATGATTAAAAATTGGACAGAGCCCTAGCTGGTTTGGCTCAGTGGACAGAGTGTCAGCCTGTGGACTAAAGAGTCCCAGGTTCGATTCTGGCCAAGGGCACATGCCTGGGTTGCAGGCTCGATCCCTCCCAAGTAGGGGGAGTGCAGGAGGCAGTCAATCAATGATTCTGTCTCATCATTGATGTTTCTATCTCTCTATCCCTCTTCCTTCCTCTCTGAACAATAAAAATATTTTAAATAATACTAATAATAAATTGGACCTATTCTTAGGACTGTTAGAAGGATTAAATCTGTGTGTGTGTGTGTGTGTGTGTGTGTGTGTGTATAATCACTTAGAGCAGCGCCTGGCATGTAGTATACTCTCAGTAAAGAAATAGGAACTTATTATCCATCTTCCCTCTAGTTGCTTCTACAAAGTGTCTAACATGGAGCAGACCTGTAATAAATAATCACTTAGAAACAAATGCATGATGAATGTATAAAGGAATGAATACTAAATGACTAAACCTCCACTCGGGGAGAAACCAGACCTCAAAAATGCAAATACAGAATAAGTATGAATTTGAGAGAGAAAAAGAGAATTACAAATGAGAATACAATAGTGGAAAAGGAGAGAAGAAAATATGAAGAAACAGAAGAGAGTAGCAGTAAAGAGAAAGATAGAAAAGGTATAATCAAGAAAAATAGAAACTATTGGCCAGAAAGAAAATTTTATTCATGATTCTTTCAGACACCTTACCTCCAGGGGATTATTTCAGCCTAGCAGCTAATATCAATTTCCTGGAATTTTCTTAAATCAAGGTAACATACACTGGTTGTAAGTGACTGTGATTAGGTGTCTGTGGCCCTTCAAAGACTATTCAATGCTATCTTATAAAACCCATCGTGATAATGCTAATTATGTTCAAGGTCATGAATGTTTGGGCTGCCACTGATAATATGGCAAGCAGTCTATGCAAGAACACTGCACAGCAGTTTTCATTTATAGGAAATGGGATATGACAAGGTTTAAAAGACTTCATATCTTATGCTGTAATGCCTACATAATAAAGGTATGGTATCAGGGTAACATGCAAAACACTATAAAATAGGTAGAACATACAACTCATTAAAGAATAGTACAGAATACAAAACAGTATTAGTTACTAGTGTTCATTTTTCTGAGACTATTTCACTTTAATGATTAATAGAAGAAATGCTGAAAGTATTTTTAAAGTTAATTAACTTGCTTAACGGGAGTCTATTTAATATAAATTAAATATATAGAACTACACATAGAGACATATATTTATAATTTTAATACTCTCTATGTAGAGTAATACTAGGATCAGATAGGACTATACAGTCTTTAGAATAAACCATTAAAATTATAATATGTTAATAGATGAACACAAGATTTCTGCTAGCAAGAGTTAAACAAATGTGTAATGTAAATGCTTGTTATATTTTACAAAATAATTTTAAAAATTTGAACTCAAATGGAATAACTATTTACAGAATAATATAATGTAATATTATACTATAAATTAAAATTATTAATGTGAAAAAATAACAGTTAACTATTGTTTGAATTTTTAAATCAATATTTTTTTAAAATTTTATTCACATAAAATCATGCATCTAAATGATAAATAAAATCAGATATACAGTTTTTATGAGGCTTTAGGCAACACCCATAATTTTGCCTAATTTTTTCAACTAGGTAATCAATACAACCAATTTGAGTTTACTATATTGCTTTGTAAATCAGTAGATCATAAACTTCAACAATAACAACATATAGTCAATATAAAATTGAATTACATTAGTATCTGAGGATTACATTTTTAAAAAAAAATGAACTATGAATGTACACCATTCTTTCACCTTGGGAATACGACATACCTTGGATGCAATGAAATAATTATTAAATTTATTCATTTTGCATGAAATAAGAGATTATAAGTAAAATTTCTTAATATTTAAAGAAATTAAGGTTTAGGTAGAACAAGTTTAATTTAACTACTGACTTTAGATTATAGCCAAACACTTTGAAGGAAAGTTAAATTAAAAATTGTGATAATTTAGATACTGACTGACTAGGTTACAGTTTATATCCTCAGTACACTAAATAATCAGTTATGTGAATTAACTGTAAACAAGATCATTATGGGCATGTTTACCAACTTAAAATAAAATTTTTGTAACATGTTGAAATGCATTTATATATTACAAATTGATATCACTGTATTATGATCTTGGTATGACATTTTATCTAATAAAAGTATGGGTTAAAACTGCCTCTCTTTTAAAGTACACAATCTTATGTAATTTATATTGATCACATTGCCTAATTCTATGGCAAGAAAATAACTTTCATGTATTGCTAGTGAAAGCATAAATAGGTAAAAACTATATGATAAGCAATATATATAGTAATAGTTTTTAAAAACTTATATTCCTTGCCTCAGTGATTTCATGTTGGGATTCAGGCCAATAAAATATCTAGACAAAGATTTTTTAAAGTTATCATAAGATTTTTAATTATAACAAAAAATATAATCAGTCCATTTATATTTATTTCTATCAGAGAATAGTTAAATTATGATTAGTCAATCTAAGTAAATATTTTATAGCCATTAAAATAGAAAATTAAAGATGTATGGAAATTGTAAATAAAAAAAATGTCAACTTGTATGTATATATACATAACTGTGATTATGCAATATATGTGTAAAGAATAAAAGATAACTAATGGACAGTACACCAACATGCTATGAGTAGTGGAATTGCATATGGT